CGAAGGCGGCAGCCTCGCACCTTACCAAGATGATGGCGACCGAGTTCGCGCTCAAGGGCGTCGACGTGCGCGTGAACGGCATCGCGCCGGGGGTGTACGCGTCCGAGATGACCTTTACCGACATCGACGGCGAGGAGCAGACCAACAAGGTCGGCCAGCCGCTGGTGTCGATACCCATCAAGCGGGCCGGGACGTGAGTGCCTCATCCCTCCTAGTGGGCCTAGTACGAATGTCGGCTGATGCATACGCGCTGCACAGGGCTCAGGAGATGGCGGGGACGGCGATTTACCTCGCCTCTCCCGCAGGCTGCTACACGAACGGACAGGATATCATTATTGACGGAGGGTATCTCGCGGTGAATCCGTCTACCGCATGAGGATGCCGATGACTCGAGAGCGGAGAGCTGAAGCGGACGGGCGGGAGGCAGTACAGAGAAGTATGGTTGTGTGTATGATACTTAAGGACCGATGTGTCTGGACAAATCACAATTTATTGATAGTGTGGGTGAGCAGCCTGAGGTCCATAGGATTGAACACAACCTCCTTGTCATTGTTTCAACGGGTTTACCATGATTCTTGGTTGACATCCTTTATGGATATTGAGTAAGATATAACGTCCACGCAACCCGTACGGCACGTGACAGTCACACACTTACACGTGACATCGGCGTGAAGTTATACGTGTGTAACGGCACACTTGCACCTTCACTCAGTAAATTACCACAGGATACCCTCCCAGGCAAACACCAGAAAACCTCGCATAACTGCGTATGAAAGACCGTTTGGGCATATTTACACTCTTATAGGCATCTGACTCACGCGTTGTTATCCAGGGATCGTCTTCGTTCTCGATTAGTACATCAAGCCGCGTGTTCTGTGGCAACAACAAGTTCAAACCGTGGTGAGCACCATATAAGGCGCCGCTTCTGCGCCACACGCTCTAACCACAATCCCCATGATGTCTGACAGTGTGAACGACAGCGACGCGGAATCTACCCGCTCGGCCACACCTACTGCGAGTGAATATTCTTCGCGGTGGTCCTCGGAGCAGCCGTCTCTGGTCCCCGATTCGAGCGCGCCTCCCTCTCCTACGCTATCGTCTGAAACGGAGACCCGTCCATCTACCCCGATCGCAAGGCCCGATACACGCAAGGGGCGCGAAAGATCGCTGGAAGCGGAAGCTCCACCAGCTACAGTTTACGATTTCGAAGCTTTCTGGCCGCAGCCCGTGTCGCAGACCATCGGAAAACCTTTTGAAGGTCCCCTGATAGCAGGCTCTGAACCCGTAACAGAGCTATTCGGCGCCGGAATGGATTTCGCAACCAGTACTCCGCCTCCCCCATCTCCTCCTCCGTCCGGACACCAATATGCTCCATCTGATTCCCAAGTTACCGATACACCACTGAAATCTAACGCAGACTCTCTCGACACCAAGAAGGTCGATCAGCTTCAGTGGGCGTTGAGAGAGGAACTGGAGGACAGCTGGGTCGACGGAGGTGCCGCGTTTGTGGCTAGAGTAATGGAGCCAAAGAAGGGCGAAAAGGGATTCCCAGACATTCCATCCGACGCAAAGATTATGCAATTCCTCCGGCAATGCGAACACTTCAAGTTTGAGGAGACCAGTGCTCCGAAGGCAGGAGTTAGCGCCAAGAGTACCCGGACACGCAAGACGTCTTTGCGCTCCAAGAGGGCCTCGAGCGATGCCTATGGAGGATCTAGTGGTGAGCCAGCTGCAGAGACTCCCGAAAGCCCGGTGCTCGAGAAGGATTTGTACAAACCATTCGAGACCATCATGAATGACATACTGAAGTTTTTCGGCCGTTCGACTCGCCAGGCGATCGCCACGCATGGCCAGCAAATGCCCCACTCGCGGGATGTACACGCGACGGAGTTGAAGACCAGCCCGGACATCTGCATAATTGGCCATGGCCCCTCGATCACAAAGGTCCAACGTTTGCCGAACAAGCCTGTGTATACTCACGTAGCAGCGCCAATTGAACTCAAGCGCGAGAAAGACGCTTACGAGGGGAAGCAACCAAGCCTAGGAGAATGGCAGGCCGAACCTCACACGAACCACAAGATACAGCTAGCGGTCTATGCCCGGGAATGTTTCGTGCAGCAGCCCAATAGACGCTTCGTCTACGGTCTCCTTCTTACGGAAAAATTTGTCCGACTATTCCAATTTGATCGGGCTGGCTGCTTGTTCTCGGGGCGTATCCACATACACAGGGACGCGCACATGTTCGTCAAACTCATCCTCGCGCTATCTACCACGGACGAGGCAAAGCTGGGGTTCGATACCCGGATCCATTGGGAGGATCAAGACCTGTACTTCTCTCCCAAGGTGGGCGAGGCTGTCAAGTACAAAGTCTGCAATGTGAAGCCGTTCCATAGGCATACAATACGGGGGAGAGGGACAACATGCTGGGTCGTTGAGGATCCGGACGACAAGGGCAGCCGACTTCACCTTAAATTCGCCTGGCGAACTCTCGAACGCGTGGCGGAGTCTGTGTTCCTCGAGTACATCAATATCGAGTGTGGTGGCATTCCGGGTGTCAGTGAGCTCCGACGCTGCGAGAACACGGAACAGATTACGAACCTGCGTCACGGTGCTACCTTCAAGACTCGTCAAGGCAAGCTGGTGTCCGACCGTCAATACTACTACATTTTGCAACCTTTCTATGGGCCACCGCTGGAGATGGCACGGTCCGTGCTGCAACTCGTCGAAGCTTTTCGCGATATTATTGCAGGTATGGCTTCTAGGCAGTTCCTATCAGTTACTTTCTGACGACACTCCAGCCCAACGCAACCTTGCTCTGCGTGGTATCGTGCATCGTGACATCAGCACGCGCAACATGCTACTCAATGAAAGACTCGATGCGGGGGTAGGCACGCGGGGAATTCTGATTGATTTCGACATGGCCAAGTTTATTGATAGGACGACGAGCGGGGAGAGTACCGATGTCCGGACG